AGCAGTAGGTACCTATCCCTCGAGTGGTATGCTGCTGTTGTTCAGCAGTAGGTACCTATCCCTAGAGTGGTATGCCAGTACTTTTCCAACGGCACACCATTTCCTAAAGGCAGGTGCTGCTTGAAAGTTCATATTAGTGGTATATGGCGTTGAATCAGAGTGGTATGCCATTCATATCAGTGGTATGATATATATATATATATATAGACATCGAACAAAAAGTTTGGAAATTCGTGTTTGGTAGATTATTTCTCTATTGTAACAATGCTTCTTGGCAATAAATGTTATACCGTTGGACCTGAACATGTATGGTTCTTCCACACGCTACTGAGGCTCCTGTTTGTTAAATGAATAAATTGTAAAATTGCCAATATGTCTTGTTTCTTCCTTGTTACTGATACACTTCAATCATCCAATCCACCAAACAAGAGTCGATGGCAGAATACGCTGTTTGGCATTGGCAGAGAAGATTTGGCAAATTTTTCATGGGCGCAACCCACATACTCAGCTGTGCTGCTCATCCCACAAATGCATGTTCCTTACAAATGGGTCACCGTTTGAAAGGTAACTAAACAGGCTTTCCAACGGCATAAAATTCATTGCCAAGAAGCATTGTTACAACAGAGAAATAATCTACCAAACACTAATTTCCGAACTTTTTGTCACAAATTCCCCTTCAGATTAGATTGTTTTCATCCTGCCTGTTTCTAACCCTCCTATTATTTCAGGTCCTGCCATTCACACCATATCATCACCCATTCCCCTCACATGGTCTTCCACGCCCATCTCACCTGCAGCCCATTCCCTCGTTAGTCCCTCACTATTTAGGTCCACTCACTTGCACTTGTTCCCTGCCAGATTGTCTTGTGTGTCTCTGCCAAGCTCTTCAGCATTATCTTTATATTGTTCCTGATCTGCCTGTTCCGACCCTGCCTGCCTGTTGTTTCGACCTTGGATTTTTGCCTGCCCCTTATCGGATTTGTTCACCTTCTTGACTGACCTCCCGGTTTTGACCCTACCTATACACAAGTAAAGAAAACTATACTTGTATTCTGTCTCTGAGTCGTGCTTTTGGGTTCACGTACCTGTAATCCTTACACATACATTGGCCATAATATCAGTTTCAGGGCACATCAGCAAATATTAAATCACTTTATTGTCCTTTAAAAAGCCTTTCATATATCTAAACAAGAAAATAGACAAGATAAAATAAATACATTCCTTTATTTAAGATGCTGTGTTACACTACTTTGTCAATAAAGTCAAAAAAATAAATGCACGGCATCACTGTTCGTGAATCAAACCAATTTACATTAAATGTGCATATGCATCAAGAGACGGCACTGGTGTGCCTGTCTGACAGTACATACCGCTGAACAGCAGCAGCATACCACTCGAGGGATAGGTACCTACCACTGAACAAGTAGCATACCACTCCAGGGATAGGTACCTACTGCTGAACAACAGCAGCATACCATCGGCCACTTTTCGATCTCGGCGCTACTGGTCTGAGGTTATCCTCATGAGTTCAGTTAAGCCAGTCATTAAAGATTTTATGATTTTATTTGTTTTCTTCTAAACATGCAGTACATTGTAAGTTTTGTAATGTAATACAAATGTCCCTTTATTATTTGTCTTGAGAACATGTATTAATCTGCAACAATTATGTATTGAATGTCTATTGTTATTTTATTTGTTTGGAATTAAATGCAAAAGTAGCGGGTTGTATTACCCTTTGTAAATTAACGGTAACATTCTGGCAGATACCGTAAAATCACCGTAAAACCCAGTTTCCTACTATCACATAACATAATCCAGTATACGGTAAGATACCGCAAAAGTAAATTACGGTAGCTTCACTGTAAGAAAACAGTAAATTACTGGCGTCCCTGCTGCCAGTAAGTTACGTTATTTTATGGTGAAATTATTAAGACAACTCACCTGACACTATGGAGGTCTGGCTTCAGGATAATTTAACCACACGGCATGATTGGTGATTTAATGTTTCTATCAGACGAGGATTTTTAATAGATTTTCTTTCAACACACAATGATTATTTTCCTTGAAACTAACAAGTTAACAGATACTAATATATTCACCTAATGGGAAACATTCATTTTTGACACAGCCCAGACTCAACAACAGCAGGGCAATGTTCTTAAAATCAAGACAAAGCCAAAGCAAACATGGCGAAGGCACTAGTAGGCTGGTCTCTCATCAGTTTCGACAATATTCGGCTGCCAACTTAATTACAGAAATACAAGCTACATATGGCGCCATCAACTCTGACCCAAAAGTCATCAATGATCAGTTTAAAATGTTTTATTGTTATGTTACCTGCACCTCATGAGTTAAAGGGAAAATACAACTAAATTGTGTCTTTATTCTTTGATTTGAGGGTTGAAGATAATGAAATTAATAATATCTGACTTACTGATATGTATGTGTTCAGGACATTTCTGACCATATCCAAACAAAATCAAACATCAAACATGTTAACTGTACCAATTAAGACATTTTATGAAGTACAAACTGAACTGAAATTGTACCTTCAAATAGCTAATTTCTGAAATGTTTAAGGTGCTATGAAAATATTCTTGTCAATATGACTGATGTATATGTGTTCAGGACATCTTTGACTCCACACAGACTGAAAATCAGACATTTTTACTGTACCAATTAAGAGATATTTCGAAGTAAAAGTCATACATCTGTACCGAGAAAATATCTAATAACTGAATATTTGAGGTGCTATAAAATTATTTTTCTCAATAATTCCAGGCAATGACTGATGTATATGTGTTCAAGACATTGTTGACTCATCCCATAGAGAAAATCAGACATTTCGACTGTACCAATTAGGAGATATTTCAAAATAAAAGTCATACATTTGTACCGAGAAACAGGTACATTTCTGAATATTTGAAGTGTTATAAAAAGTATTTTCTCAATAATTCCAAACAATGACTGATGTATATATGTTCAGGACATTGTTGACTCACCCCATAGAGAAAATCTGACATTTTTACTTTACCAATTTAGAAATATTTCAAACCTATTTTGGAAACCGGATGTTGTCTCGTGTTAATCTTTCCGCTACCTTTGCAAAGTCCTTCGCTCGCTCCCGATCTGTTCCGTTTGAATGTGTTTACCGTGAATTTCAGCAAATAGGCGCACTAATATTTAAGTGTCTGCTGGGTTGACCACGGAGATCCGAGTGTCTGCTGACTTGACCGCAGTAAGTCGTGAGCTTGGAACAGGAAGTGCCTCTACTAGCTGCCGCTGCCACGATTTGAACCAGCTCCTTCTGAGAAAATGAGTGCACTTTTGTTCCCCTCATTTTATATTTTTAAACGGATTTTGTCCTTGTGTGATTCCGATTCTCATAAGTCGGAGAAAACGTAAACATTTCAGAGACATCTTTATATTCCGACAGGACGTGAAGGCAGCATTAACTCCTCCTTTGGTTTGTCCGAGCGGGAAGTTCACCGGTCTGGTTTAAAATGTAGCAAATGAACCCGTTAGCTCTTTTAACCGAAGAATCCACTTTTGAGGAATTTTAACAGGTGAGTTTGTATGAATGGGATTGGTAACTTACAACGACATTCGGCCGTGGCTCATGTAATATGTGCCCTAAAGCCAGCATTGAGCTAGCTGGTTACTCTTCATACATCCATGATGTGACCTGAACCGACCGAGGCAGTGGTAGGTTCATGTTGAGCTAACGGTAGAGTACATTAAGTAATGACGTGTGTCCGTCTGTTCTAGTGACTGTAGGAGATCTCTGCAGTCATGTCCAATAACGCCGAGATGAGGAGCGCCACCGCACCGACGCGATTCGGACAGGTAGGTCACGTTAGTTGGGTTACTTTAGACAGGTGGGTCACGTTGGGTTACTTCGGACATTCAAATGAGGCTCAGGTGTGTAGAAAATCCACTAGGATAACGTTAGTAATTGACGCACACCTGCTTCACCCAGTGCATTCTGGGATAGAATGACACTGGAAAAGAGCAATGGTGATTGGCTTGCACTGGTACTGAAGAGACTAACGGTATCTTTGCAATACATTGTTCCAAGCTATTGTTACATACATACAACATATGACTATATTGTATCAGCTGTATAGATGAATATCAAAAAAATCTTGTGATTGCAGAAAGCAGTGCTCCAACATTGGGTCAGGGTGTGACTCATTAATTGAAGAACCATGCACTCTTTTATTCTGCCATGGTGTGTGTATGTGTGTGTGTATATGTATGTATGTGTATATGTGTATATGTATGTATGTGTATATATATATATATGTATGTATATGTATGTATGTATGTGTATATGTATATATATATATATGTGTATATATGTATGTATGTGTATATATGTATGTATGTGTTTATATGTGTGTGTATGTATATATATATATGTGTGCTTAGTTTTGACTGTGTTGTCAGTGTACCTACACAGCTGAGGAGCAGGAGGCGGTGCACAAAGCTCTGCGACAGAAGCTGGGACCAGAGTACATCAGTAGCAGAATGGCTGGAGGCGGACAGAAGGCAAGTCTTAGTTCATCTCTCTGCCGTAAAAGCAGTGTCAAGTGAACTGTAGAAAAGTTAGACGTTCGTCTGTCAGCTAGGTTATAATCACACAATTATTGCAACATGAACAGTGATTGTGATGTGTTTTATTTCTCCTTCTCTCTCTTTGATATCGCCTCTTTGAATGGACTCTTCCAGGTTTGCTACGTGGAAGGGCATCGTGTAATTGGCCTGGCCAATGAGATGTTTGGATACAATGGATGGTCTCACTCCATCTCTCAGCAGAATGTCGGTACGGCTCGGTACAGCGTCTTGTCACTTAGAGTGCTGTTAACGTCCGGCTCTTTCCACACTGTCGCACTAAGAATGCACTTCTATTTTTCAGACTTCATAGACATCATCAACGGAAAGTTTTATGTCGGAGTCAGTGCGTTTATCAAAGTGCAGCTGAAGGTTAGGGGAAGCCATACTTATTTTACTGTATTGATTTGAAATCTTTACCTTTTTACATATTCTTCCCTGCTTGTTGGCCACATGAGTTTGTGTGTGATGTGTACTTCTCCTCCAGGACGGCGCGTTTCACGAGGATGTAGGTTACGGTGTCAGCGAGGGACTGAGGTCTAAAGCTCTGTCGCTGGAAAAGGCGAGAAAGGAAGCGGTCACGGACGGCATGAAGAGAGCACTGAAGTACTGGGATTTGCATTTTTATATGTCTTCTGATTATGAAACATGACGAAAAATCATTTAGAATACACAATCTTTCTAAAATGTGTTTTTGTTATAAGAGGAATGTTTTTTGGGTGTTGTTTAGATGCTTCGGTAATGCTCTTGGAAACTGCATCCTGGATAAAGAATACCTCATAGCCATTAACAAGATCCCCAAAAAGGTCCGGTACAGTGTTGTAATATCTTAGCATTTTTGTGTTTTTATTCTCATTCAAAAAAGTTTTTGGGTGCTGAGTCTTCTCCTCTACGCAAAGCCTCCTCCTCCTCTAGACCCGGCCCAGACGAAGCGCTCCGCGGGTGAGCCCTTAGTGGAGAAGGCCCGGTACTTGAGTCTGCTCCGAGAGGAAAAGCTTGGATCTGCTGTGGGTGCTGGCAGGACGCCACTGGAGCCCAGAGTCCTCAACCACAACCAGAACTATTCAGAAGTTCACACTCCTAATGCTGCCGGCACTGCTGACGGGAAGAGCGACAACATTGACTCCAAGTAAACACATCGTTTGTACAAAGTGTGGAAAACGCTTAATTTTAACTTTTTAAAAATATTTTCCAGGTTGGGAATGTGCCTGGATTCAAATACACTTTTTGAATAATGCTTGACTTTCAACAAATTTGCATTGATAATAACACATTTAGACCTTGAGAGTCATTAGGTTTTTTGTTTCGGTCCCTTGAAAGATGAACAGCAGTGGGTGTCGTGTCTGGCTTTAGTGACACTGACACTACTTCATCTCTCGTGCATCACCTCCAATCTGTTTCCTCTGTTTTTCCCCCCCCCAAGACCTGTCGTGGACTCGGCGAACGTCGGCGAGTCATTAGAGCACACGGACCCCAAACAGCTGAGAAAGCTCAGACAGCAGCAGCTTCAACAGAAGTTCAGGAGAGAGATGGAGACCCGGAAGCTGCAGCAGAAACCGGATCAGGCCAAGTCTGAGGACACGGAGGCCCCGATTGGACGAGTATCCGGTGGAGGTGAGGGTTTCATGTGTCGCCATGACGGATTTCATTCTGTCTCGAGCAGCAGCCTCAAACTCAAATCACCTCGCACTGGATAGGTTTTTTGGATGCTCTGCAAACACTGAGGTTGTTTACCCGAGAACAGCAGGTTTCTGTTTGCAGATGGAAGAAGAAACCGTAACATTTAATGCCACAAAAACAGTTAAATATCCAATTCTCCTGAACTTGCTAAACTGTTAAGTTGTGCAATTTGGCACATCTTGCTTAACGTGACAGGGAGGTTATTTTTATGCTCAGATTTGGAAGCCTCTTTAGTAAAATACTGAAAAATAAAAATAGGGAATAAAATGATTTGCAAACCAGATGTAACGTTAAATTTGAAACATGGGGCCTGATGACATTGTGTCGGGTTTGACTTCCAGGTTTTAGACCGAGTTTGAAGTGTCCCTTTTAGGAGTTGGTGTTTTTATAAAGATGTATCCATTCCTCCAGGTGTTGAAAATGTACCTGCTTACCTGAGCCAGGAGGCTCTACGTACGTTGACCGTGTGGTGAGGAAGCCTGCCTCAGCACGACTGGTTTGTCTTCTTTCCGCAGACGATCCTGAGCTCTGGGACTTCACTCTGGATGGGATTGATTTGCTGGATGCAGGCGGCCTTTCCTCCAGAGCGCTCGCACCGAGCACGCCTGGGAATCACAACATGCAGACGCGCAGTAAGACCCCTCTGAGGGCCCCAGGAAGACCTCCAGACGAGGCCCCTTCGTACAGTGGAGGACAGGACCGGGCTCAATACAGACCTCAACATCAGAACCAGCATCAGGCCAGACCAGGTGAGATTTCATGTGAGAGATGTTGGCTGGATTTTGTGATCTTCCATCTACTTTTTCAACCTTACAGGTGAAGCCATCAGTCCGTACAGACAAGGACAGTACATGAAGAAGCGCCGACTCGACACCTGAGATTTTATGATTCTGTTCCACAGCTTCAACACTTTGGAAGATGTATTTTACTTTGTTTTCTTCTTTTATAGTGCTTACATTTGTTATCTTTGCAATGAATTGCTGCTAATTGAATTTGGAGAAATGCATTTGGTTTTGAAAACAAATAAAACCACAAAAGTCAGTCTGCTGGCTGGGTTTTATTTAGAGAGGAAACCAACAAATGTGATCAATAATAGATAGGGATGTTTTCTAAAGTTTGATAGCTGCTTATTTTATCATATTTAATGTTAAGTAAGTGAATAATTATCGTAGGATTTACATTTTCCAGGCCTTAAAAAGATGAAAAATACATTTATTTCAAGACAAAAATCCCAGACCAGCATTAGACTTATTCCAGTAAGCATGACAAGTGCTTTAATTGATATTTTTATTTGTTTTTACATTTTGTACAATGTGAAAAACATACACAAAACAGACACTGAATCACAGGTCAGTAAGGAGGGATCAGACCGATACTCCTGCATGTCGGAGGTCTGATCAGTACTGAGGAGCATATGGACCCTAAAGAGATGGTGACCTTGTGCTGTACAGCAGCCAGTTGCGAGTTGGTTGTCATTTGTAAGATTAAACACCTGTGAAGACGGCATGCAGAAATCATACGCTGATAGTTTGATATTGAAGTTGTGATATTGGTGAATGACAAGTGAACAGATCAGCAAGTTATGATCACTCTCAGGAAGGCAAAGAATAAAAAATAAAATAAAAGTTCTAATATTCCAATATCAAAAACATTGAAGTCAGTAAACACCCTCATCGGCATGCAAATGTTTCAATTACCCCTCAGTCCCTTTAAACATTGCATATTCTGCATTGCAGCAACTTATTTTTTTTTCTCTAGAGAACTTTTAAACTATTCATCCAAATCTACGAGCAGGCGAAAGAGTCACAATGACAGCGTGGCACTCATACGAGGTGGTGAAACTAAAGATGAGCCAGCATGACGACGTTTAAACCTTTATACAGCTCACTCGCTGCCTGAACAGGCGCGTCTATGAAGCCTAATTGTGAGTCCCACTGCATTCCTTTGGAGAGACCCGCCCTGCATAGCTGCTCAAGGCACAGACGAGACGTTAAGGTGAGGCATGAGGATCTGGAGAGCCTTTAGTCACAAACTGGGTTACCAGTAACTCTGAGCATGGTCGCCTGGCTAATCGCAGGGCGGGACTTGCCAAGAAAGGCAGGAGGATTCATAATAACCAAACGGTTTAATGATAAATCCACAGAAACCAAATAAAAAAAACACAGCCAAATATAAACACAGCTGTTTACACAAGCATCGAACTGTAGAGAGGACAGAAACGCTTCCACATCACTCGGTGTGTTCTTTGTTCTGCAGTCTCTAATGTTTCAGTGTGACGTACGCCGAGCCGGCCGTGCAACAGTTACGCAGCCACCTGTCGCGTGTCTACGTCAGGTTCAGTTCACAGCTACAGGGCTAGATGGATCTGGAACTTGTCATTAGTGAGGATGCAAGGCACTAAAGTGTTCCTCATGTTTACAGGCTAGAGTGCGTGTAGAGTGGGTCACCGCAAGCACACTCTAGTGACTGAGCATTACGTGAAAGCATCTACCTCACATTAACATATATACAATAAAATAGAAGGAAGGGGGGGGGGGGGGGGGGGGGGGGG